GCACCGAGCTAAAGAAAACAACAGAATTTCACTTTTAATTAAACAATAAAGGGGGGGACAAGATTTGTATTTATTAAATCTTTTGTATTTATTAAATCTTTTGTAAAAATTTTAAAAAGTCAGTAGTTGTAGAGACGTGGGAGGAAGAGCAGAGCGTCACCAGAGATGGCAGAGTGTCGACACCAGAAGAAACACAAGACTTGGCTCTCGCACAACTTTTCACCAGCTGCTGACCCGCCCAATCAGATACGCTCGAAAGAACTTGCAGTACCCCTCCAACCCCCCCACACAAGCTAAAATCCAGTCTTTTCCCATCTCATCATCCTCTGAACATCTTCTCCAGCAGCTAAATGTGGACGATAGCCTGTTTCAATCAGCAGAGATGAGTTTAACAAAACACCACAGAATTAAGAAATCTTTACTTTTGTTCATGAAGCATTCACTGTTGTGATCCATTTTACTTCCATACGTTTTTCAGCTTCAATCTGTTTCAACAAAACGTTGAACTTTTTCAGGACGATCCTGTTATGACTTTTGGTATTGGTGCAATTTTAGCTTTTAGAAACATTTAGCCTGTTCAGAGTAGAAAATGAATTGAGCTCATTTTGCATCCTTCAAATCTTCAGATCTGTTTACAGCCTTTTCTGCTCCTTTCACGTTTGTTCTGCTTCAGCTTCTTTCAGCTTCCTTGGACAAATTTCAGCTAATTTCAGCTGTTTGGGGCTTCTTTCAGATTCTTTTTGATAACTACAACATTTTGTGGCTTCTTCTAATATATTTTTGCTCATGTCAGCTTGTTATGCTCATTTCAGCTTATTTCTGCAAGTTTCAGCCTTTTCTACCATTTGCCTGTTTTTATGTTTAGCTTTTTCAGCTAATTCCACATTTTTTAGCTCATTTCAGCCGTTTTGACTTCCTTCTGGTAGTTTAAACTTCTTTATGCCTTTTCAGCTACTTTTTTTTTTTACAAATTCCAGTTTTAGCTAATTTACAAATTTGTGTGCCAATTTCTGCTCATTTAAACCAAATTAAGCAAATATGTGTTCTTTCTGCTTTCTTCTGCTAATTAAGACTTGTTCCTCCATTTCAGCTACAGTTCAGCATGTTTTTTTAAACGAACTTCTGCTGTTTTTCAGCAAGTTCTTCAGCAATAAGCATTCACACTACATGTTCACAGGAAATGCAATTTCTCTGGTTTAAATTTGATCTAATTCGCTACAAAAGAGGCAGACATTCAAAGTAGTCCATTTATTTATTTAACAAAAAAACATGTACATATGCAAAAATGCCCAAACAATCTCAACTTAAATGCAACGTAAGGCCTCAAATATAGATGTTGTAAAACTGCACCAATACCGTCAACAGCTTTACAAGTTACAGAGCTCCAACAAAAGCAGGAAAATATTTACGATCCAGGTTGGGTTGACAGAAAACCTCCACGAGACCGTACGCAGAGATACGACCCCAAAGCAGCAACTAAAACCGATCAATGCTCCACGCTAAGTTATCATATAAAACAATATCACGCCAACGATGTGGCAAACAAGGTTGGAAAACAGATGGCAACACGGGTACAATAAATAACCTTCTTCATTAACGTTGTAATAACTGTACAACACTCGGGCTGTAAACTCAGGACGCTGCATCAAAGGAACCATTTTCTGTCCATCTTGATTAATCTGCTCTCTGCTTTGTACAAGATACAAGGAAGCACCAAACTCTTCAAATATTTCTATCCACGTGCTCAACAATCAAGACTTGATCAGTCCCGTGTTACACCAGCCAGCCATAACAATATGACCATTTGTCTAATATCGCGCAGATCGTTTTGGAAAATTAAAAATCAAATGCACGCACACAGAAAAAGCATGTTTTTATGCACATTTGGAGCTCTACACCCTTCTTTAGACTGACAAATTTACTGTCTGTTAAAATATGGACTGTTTAATGGGGGATACTGCACACAGTAGCTATAGGTAGTAGAACCTCCCTGGGCTGGGACTGCTGAAGACTAGCTGGCAACTCTCCTTTTTGTTGCAGCCTTACTGAATTCTGAGCATTTGCAAAAGAGCAACCAGCAACCAGCAACCAGCAACCAGTGTGGCCAGTTTATTTTTGGAAAACTGAATTGTAACATGTGCACCTTTACTGCCTACCTGGAACTGCTCTGCGCCCACTTTGGCAGCTGCTGAGCAGCTCTCGTGGTCTTGAGATCATTTTGAGACTCTTGCAACACAATCAAGAGACAAATTATGTTGCAGCAATTTTTAGACCACATTTAAAATTCGAACGACGCGACTGCGCACCTCTGCAGCTCGTGCAATGGAAAGGGAAATCCCCTGCGAAGGCTGCAGGACATTCTGGAGACAAGGCTGTTCACAAACTGGTTTCCAGCAGCTGCAGCCCAGTGAGATGCGTTAATGAAGAGCTGCTCACCTGAATCCTTAATAAAACTCAACGTTTCCTGGTGCAAACAGCTATTTGTTGTTTTTTCATGATAGTTGCTTTTTTATCCAACAAACCCAGTAACAGATGGGTGCTGAGTTTTGCTTCAACACCAATGTGAACTACAAAAATTGCATTTCCTGAGCAAATGCAGAGTGAATGCTTATTGCTGAAGAACTTTCTTAAAAACAGCTGGAATTGGCTAAAACACATGCTGAAGTGTAGCTGAAATTGAAGAACAAGCCAAAGTTAGCAGAAGAACGCAGAAAGAACACATATTTGCTGAGAATGGTCTAAATAAGCAGAAATGAGCACAAAAATTAGGAATTTAGCTTAAAAAAAGAAGCTGAAATTAGCTATAAATAGCTGAAAAGTAGCTAAAAAAGCAGACAAACATACATTAGTAGAAGGAAGTGGAGAGAGCACAATTCTGCCCAATCAGGCTGAATGCAGCAGAAATGAGCACCAAAAAAGAGGAAATCATCTGAAAAAAGCAGAATTGGCAGAAAACAGCTGAAAAGTAGATAAAAGTAGCAGAAAGAAGCTTAAATTAGCAGAATGGGTCAGAAAGAGCACACGTTTTCCCAATTAGGCAGAAAGACGAAGAAATGAGCACAAAAAAGTGGAAATTATTTGAAGAAGGCAGAAACGAGCAGAAAACAGCTGAAAAGTAGCTAAATATAGCAGAAAGAAGTTGAAATTAGAACGAGTTTGATGCTGAAAAACGTACAGGAAGAGCTATAGTAAATATATAGTATAGTAAATAAGCATTCACACAATAACGAGAGGTGGGCATTGCAACAAGCTCATTCAACCTGTTAGTGGTCTCAATGTTTTGGCTGATTGGTGCATAAAGTCCATTTTATCCTCAGAACACATCAGACAATTGTGAGACAGATGCTTCTTCCCTCCTACTATAAACAATATTGTACCCACTGGTCATTTGGTCCACTTCACTTAGCAATGAACAACTCATAACCTTAACAAAAACTTACTTATGGACCACAGGGAACCCAAGCCCAGTAATTACGTCCATATTTCAGTGAGCTTGGAACTCATTTTGTTCTTCTCTTGGACTCAATATCGCCGTCTCGTAGTACTGTCTTCCAACGCTCCGTGCAGTGCAATAAATCTTTAAGTGTGTGCATAACAGCACATAATCAATCTAATGCTGCATCGTTAGGCTCGTAGAACGCAGGCTCACACATACAGATGTTATCAAGTCCCTGCAACAGCATCGCGCGTCCGTCTACATTCATTACATTTGGCAAATGAAGGAATTCTCATTCCGATTCACAGCGGCGCTACTTTAAAAACTGCTCCATTCATCGTCTTGTAAGTATACACTCTGAATCAATACTCAAAGTCTATTTCAGCATGATGGTCCTTTTAGCATTAGCTCCAAACAGCAGTCCTTTTGAGCGGGATGGGCCGAGAGCCTGTGAGCGTTAATGGTAAGAAAAGGGGTCGCAAACAGCTTCATTCAGTCGGCTCCATCGTCTGCTTCTGCTGCCAGAACTGTACTCCTGATGACTTGAAAGTCGAACGCTGGGGGGTATGAAAGTGCTCCACGTGACTGGAGTCCAAAAGATAAAGTCTTCTACTGCACACCTCTGACATGTGGAGACGAAGAAAAAAAATAGGTGATGGAGAATAGGGAGAGGACAAAGAAATCAATCAGAAAACCATCTGGCATGCCAACAACTGTCAAACTTGTCCGCTGTAACCTGAGGGGGCACCACACACGCACTAACCACCCCGGTTCACGAGCATCTAGAAGATGTCTGAAGGATGAATGCTGCACAACCCACAGAGTAAATACGTATTCTCAAGGAAAGACCTCCACGCTTGTGCAGATACTCGCAGCTGCTCATCGTCCATCTCATAGAGACGACATGAAAAAATCTCTTGATCCAAATTACAAAAATACCGTCGTAGTATTTATTTCCTATAAGAGTCACGCTCTTTGCTCTGAGCTGTCATGTGACATGATGTTAGTATTCCCTCTCGACCAGTTTAAAGTCAATAAACTCTAAATCTTTAAACAATAAAGTGAAACCCTGAAATGGAAAACATTCCCAGCTGACACCAAGTGAAGCAAATGCAATAAATATGACCATGATTCATGATTTTTAGCTGCTTATTATTTAACCAGCACAAAGAAACAACACTATACTGAATCCAGTAAAAAATAAAAATAATTAAAAATAACTTTAGATCAAGCAGAATCACATTCAAAGCAGAATATGGCAGCAGTTTCCCCTTTTTTTAGTGGTTACATGATTAAAAAAAAAAAAAAACTAAGGCACTGGCCGGTAATCTATGACTGTTTTTGGGCCGCTGGTGTAAATAATTTATCAAGTAGTTTGATTTCTGTAAAAGGTTCTTGAAAAATAGCTGAAAAATCCCATGTGCAAGAAAAGATGAGGTGTTGCTGTGGAGCGCTAGCCCCCTCTACAGGACAAAACACCAAACAACACCTGATGATGAGCTCTGGAAAACCACGCCCGTCCAGAAGGCTCAGATTTCACTGGTATTTTAACAAAACGTTTTCTTTCAGAAGGAAGCACACGTTTGCAAATTGATCCCTTTGTTTATATAAAAATGTAGTTAGGCTGATTATCAAATACTGTCCATCAAGTCTTCTGGGTGAAATCTGTTGCATGTTTCATGTTCTGTGTATTTAAAGTGTGTTTCAGGGAACTCGTCAGAACAGTTTCCTCTTGGTCCAACTGGTGCACAAAGACAACCTGAACAGGTTTAACTCAGGAAGGTGCACAGACAGGCGTCCTTATTTGGGCTCATTTCAGGGGTAAAAAGTAATCCAATAGCAATTAAATCCACTCAATCTTCTTCTGGATATTGGCTTCAGGATGAAAATAAATAACTTCCACGTGTATTTTTAGTTTGTCCCTTCACATCCTCTCCTCAAAGAACCACTTTTGGTGGGAGCTGGCAGAGCAGGGCTGCAGCGAGGGGGCTGGTGTCCCGTTGTCCGTCTTGTCCACGGCTTCGACGCACTTCTGGCTCTGGACGTGGAGCAGACTCCCATCCTGCAAAGAAAAGAAAATCATTTCAGAACTAAAAGATTAGATGTGGATCACTTGTATTGTTTAAAAATAAAAATAAACTGTATACAGAAAAGACCAGAGCAACGCTGCATTACCTGAATGAAGTGCACAGTCAGCAACCCCTAACTTATATTCTTGTTTTGTTTTTCCTCCATCTCCCCATTCCTCCACCCTACACACCCTTACATTCATTCCATTTTAGCTGCATTTACATTTAGATGGCGTTGTTGTGCTCCACACACGGGTGTTCTGCAGCTACACCCAGCACATGTTAAACAACTCCCCACGCTGCGTGGGAAACTAATAAACAGCTTTGCTGCTGCCGTCAGAGTCATTCTGGACATGAATTACCAGTTAGTCCTTGGATGTTGTGATTTCCTCAAATTCAAACCAGATTCAATAAAATATTTTGATTCAAATGCAATTTCTGGGAATACTATTAAAAATAACACACTATTTGCACTTTGTTTCAATAAAAGAAAACATGCCTTCTGTCTCACCTTTCGGAAAACAAATCTCTGGTCCATGGGCACAGCCTGTCCTCGCTTTTTGCACAGCTGGATGGTCAGGTAGGTACTCACGCCGTCACCCACGACGCATCCGGCTGGTTCTCTGGTGTTGTAGCTGATCTCACCATCCGCTGAAAACTCAAAAAACTGTGGAGGAGAAATAAAAACGACTGGCTTCGTTTCCAAATCTACCATGCAAGTTGTGCAATTTAAACCAAAAAAGTTATCCTCATTAATTATTTTGTTACTTTAACCTTATTGAATCCAGGAGCAGTTGCATTTTATTTTTGCCGAGTCGTAGTTTCAGTCAAGACGTGTTTAAAGTGCAGGCAAGAACGCACAAAGAGGCAATGGGGAATGAACACAGTATATACAGTGTCTTGTGAAAGTATTCGTCCCCCTTGAACTTTTCAACCTTTTGCCACATTTCAGGCTTCAAACATAAAGATAACATTTAAATTTTTTGTGAAGAATCAACAACAAGTGGGACACAATCGTGAAGTGGAATGAAATTTATTGGATGTGTCAAACTTTAACAAATAAAAAAATGAAAAGTGGGGGGTGTAGTATTATTCAGCCCCTTTACTTTCAGAGCAGCAAACTCACTCCAGAAGTTCAGTGAGGATCTATGAATGATCCAATGTTGTCCCAAATGACTGATGATGAAAAATAGAATCCACCTGTGTGTAATCAAGTCTCTGTATAAATGCACCTGCTCTGTGATAGTCTCAGGGTTCTGTTCAAAGCGCAGAGAGCATCATGAAGACCAAGGAACACACCAGGCAGGTCCGAGATACTGTTGTGGAGAAGTTTAAAGCCAGATTTGGATACAAAAATATTTCCCAAGCTTTAAACATCCCAAGGAGCACTGTGCAAGCAATCATTGAAATGGAAGGAGTATCAGACCACTGCAAATGTACCAAGACCCGGCCGTCCCTCTAAACTTTCATCTCGAACAAGGAGAAGACTGATCAGAGATGCAGCCAAGAGGCCCATGATCCCTCTGGATGAACTGCAGAGATCTACAGCTGAGGTGGGAGAGTCTGTCCATAAGACAACAATCAGTCGTACACTGCACAAATCTGGCCTTTATGGAAGAGTGGCAAGAAGAAAGCCATTTCTCAAAGATATCCATAAAAAGTGTTGTTTAAAGTTTGTCACAAGCACCTGGGAGACACCAAACATGTGGAAGAAGGTGCTCTGGTCACATGAAACCAAAATCCAACTGTTTGGCCACAATGCAAAACGATGTGTTTGGCGTAAAAGCAACACAGCTCATCACCCTGAACGCACCATCCCCACTGTCAAACATGGTGGTGGCAGCATCATGGTTTGGGCCTGATTTTCATCAGCAGGGACAGGGAAGATGGTCAGAATTGATGGGAAGATGGATGGGGCCAAATACAGGACCATTCTGGAAGAAAACCTGTTTGAGTCTACAAGAGACCTGAGACTGGGACGGAGATTTATCTTCCAACAAGACAATGATCCAAAACATAAAGCCAAATCTACAATGGAATGGTTCACAAATAAACGTATCCAGGTGTTGGAATGGCCAAGTCAAAGTCCAGACCTGAATCCAATCAAGAATCTGTGGAAAGAGCTGACGACAGCTGTTCACAAACGCTCTCCATCCAACCTCACTGAGCTCGAGCTTTTATCAAGGAAGAATGGGCAAGAATTTCAGTCTCCATGTGCAAAACTGATAGAGACAAACCCCAAAAGACTTGCAGCTGGAACTGCAGCAAAAGGCGGCACTACAAAGTATTAACGCAAGGGGGCTGAATAATATTGCACACCCCACTTTTCAGTTTTTTATTTGTTAAAGTTTGACACATCCAATAAATTTCATTCCACTTCACGATTGTGTCCCACTTGTTGATTCTTCACAAAAAATTTAAATTTTATATCTTTATGTTTGAAGCCTGAAATGTGGCAAAAGGTTGACAAGTTGAAGGGGGCTGAATACTTTCGCAAGGCACTGTATGTGTGCGCACTAAAATGCAGAAAGGGATGCAACAACATGCAGAACACTCCCATAAGGCAGACAGCACCGCCGCTGCAGAGGCTATATGAAATCTGTGAGTCCGCAGAGGCCTTGTGGAGTAACATGGCTAAATTTCACAGCGCTCTGTGGTTCACAGAGAAAACAGATGGGAAACACGCTCTCCCTCTGGATCAACAGTACCAACATATTTTGCAATCTGAGATTGGCAAACAACTTTGCAGGTTTGTAAAGGCATGACTACACACCCTGCAGTCTGGGCTGAGACAGGATTATGGTTACTGTTTGTAATGAGGAGGAGGAAAGGTTTGATTTAAGAATAGCACGACAGGAACTGCCTAGTAAGAGGCAGCACCTATTATTATCCACATGACTTGGAGTTTCTTAACTTTATTTATTTACATCTCCCATCAACTTTAATGTGGCCGAATCGCAAAGTGTAACCCCACAAATGTTATATAAAAATGACCGGCTCAGCACTATGATATGTGCCATTACTTTCACTGGCGTTTTGAGTTACCATGGCGATGTAATTTGCAAACAAAGATGCCATTTTTCTCATTCAAAATGCCTGACAGAACTCTTAACCTCTAACTGCCACAGTGAGGTCACATGACCTAGAGGGAAAATATCTCTGAACAAAACACTGAATAATTTTTGGAGCCATTTTGGGTCAAAATGGCTGCCAGAGCTACCCCAGAAAACTCTAAATAGACTATAATTATGTCATTTGTTGAGATATTGAGCTGAAAGTTAGTTTGGTCATAGCCGAGGACGTTCCCCATCACATACTGAATCCACATCAAAAATCCAAGATGGCCACCATAGCTTAGAAGAAAAAATTATAACATTGGTTGTTTTGTTTTTTTTTGCCTTATCGAGCTGAAATTTGGTTTGTTGGTAGCTGAGAACAAACCCCAACACACAGTACTGTCAAATCAAAACTTAATTATCCACCACGTGGCAGTCCCCATCAAAGTTTCGCCTGGGACTTTCTAGTTAGTAATCAAATTTAATGAGTTCTTATATTTAACTTAAATTTAGAGGAGTTGGCAATAAATCAATACAATTATTGATTTAAAGCTCTAATCTTGAACCACACCGACTGTTTCAGTGTTTATTGATCTGTGCATCTACTGTGTATGGGAGTTTCTATGGAGATTGATAAACATGCTTTACGATGACTAATAAAAGTCATAAACTGAATCAAATTAATAAAATTGTTTTCTATAAAATACAAGTTTTTCTTGAGTCTTGACCCCAGTATAAAAACAGCCACTTCCTACCTGGTTCTGGCCCATGCCGTGACACTGGTAGAGGATGACCCTTTCGCCCACGATCGCGTTATCGTCTATGGGGTTATAGTCGAAACAGTAGTTGGCCTTGCCCCGGTTTTTCAGCTGGTGAAATTAATTCATATCAATGAAACACTCAAGCCAATCATAAAATAAATATTGTGCATTTAGCTAATATTTTGATACAACTTTACTTAAATGTAAAAAAACAAAAAGAAACAGATTTTTATTGTTTAAAAATCAGTCTCATCAGAGATTTAAACAAAGGGTTGCCTGTTTGGGGCATTCATTTTTAAGGTTCTCACCATTCCAAACATGCCGGGTCGATCCTGAGGGACAGAAATGTCAGGGTAAACATTATCCAGGTACCATCTGAAGTTCTTGCAGCCCAGCTTCTCTTTAAGCTCCTTCCGCTCTGTCACATCTCCAAAGTCCTCCTAAAATCAAACATTGCATGCGACAGCTCAGGTTTAGAGCCGTAGTTTGACTTTTCTTTAGAACAAGCTTTAAAAAGATCAGACAATTAGAAGCAAAAACCTGCTGTGCCGAGGGTGTGTTCATATTGGCAAGAAGTACAATAGCATCATTTGTTGTGTCGCAATGCAACACAATTTCTATGCACTTCACATAACCACACACTCTGAACCACTCCCAAATGTTAGTTAAATTGCTACAGACGGATCTATTTGTGTATTTTACTAAAGTCTGTGAGCGTACAAGCAAACAGTAATGGGCTTATGTAAATACCTTTAAGCATGCAAAGTTACACACATGCAGAGTGTTACACACATGCAGAGAGTTACACACA